GGGGGGGCAATCGGAAGAGGGGTGTCCGGGTGGAGGGAGAGGGGTCCTACGGGGCGGCCCGCACACCACGGAGGACTTATTCGTAGTTAAAGTGTACCGCATGCAGGCGAGTCGTGGACGCGTTGCCTATAGGTGCTCGCAATGCGGCCATAAGGCGCCGTACGGTAGGGACGGTAGGCAACCCCGCCCGCGCGGCTACATGCGGTACCGTATAACTATGAAATTCTTCGGAGGCATATGTTAGCCACCATGTATATTGAGAAAGATTAGAGAGAGAGAGAGAGAGAGAGAGAGAGAGAGAGAGAGAGAGAGAGAGAAGGAGAGAGAGAGGAAACGCCCTCGCCCTGCTGCGCTCGGAGCGGCAGCGCAGCGGAGCGCCTGGTGAGTCGGAGATAGGCAAGCCCGGCCGACAGGCGTGCCAGCGCGCGGCCTACCCGCCGGGCTGAGCAGGCCGAGCCGGGCCGAGCCGAGCCACCCGGCCTTTTGCCTTTCCTTCCTTCTTTATTTATCTCCATCACACTTTATCCTCGGCGCTCTTTCTTCCCTCTCCTTCTTCTTCTTCTCCTGCTCCTTCTTCTTCCGCACCAGAAAAATGTCGAGTCCTCGCGAGGAAAAGAGGGGGACGGAAATATAGAGAGGAGGAAGGGTTTGATCCTTATGGCCCACGCCACGCCTCACGCCCCCGGCCACATGTGTTTGCAAACTGTTTCTCTCCCCCCCCCCCACAGGCCGCTGCAGCTGCACTGCGACGCCCGTGTGTCTGAGGCCTAATTGCGGGCTTTGTTGTTGTTGCAGAGCCGGAGCCGCCGCGCCTCAGGCCGCCCGGCGGAGCGAGGCGGGTGGCGCACGAGGACCACCTCAGGGCAGACGCCCCGGACAACTCGGGTAAGTTAACTCACTCGCAACAAATAGTACAACTCGTTTTCATCTTTATTTTCGTAAAAAAAGTTAGTTTGTTAGAACTGTATTGAATTCGGAAAACCTCGATTTCGTCCTTTTCTTAGTTGCTCAGTCCTTTCAACGTGTTGGGCATTTTGTCGTGGTTGTTGTTCTACGGGATGTAAATCTATGGGAGGTGAAACTGCTGTGCCCGGCGGCGGTGGAGCCGAAACTGGAAAAACAAGTGTGACATGCGTCACATGTGGTCATGCACTCTCAGGAGAGAACGTTTCATGATGCTCTCTCCTCCTTGTAAAAGGATAGGGGCATCACAGGGAGAGTGCATCAGGAAACGTTTTCTCTGGAGAGAGCATCAAGAAACGTGATACATGTCACGTTGGTTTTTTCAGTGGACACCCGCTCCGGCCTCGGCCCCAGCCGGAGATCCGGCCTCGAAAGCCGTTCTGTTGTCGCTGGAATCAGGGCAATAAGGCCCCTCTGCATGGCTGTGACACGTTTCATATGTGTCACGTACTCGCGGCAATGCCAGCTCAGCTCAGTCCTTTGTGCGTGTGTGAGTGTAGTGAGTGTTCGTGTGTGTTTGTGTGTGCATGTGTGTGTATTGGTGCGTGCATGTGTGTGTGTGTGTGTGCGACCGCGATTTATCACGCGAGCGTGCTCTAATCCCTGGCCCGCGCTCCGGATGCGGGGGGTAGAGGGGGAGATTGGGAAAGAGAGACGTAGTGAGAGAGAGAGAGAGAGTTTTTGAGTTTTTACAAAGGATTTATTGGGGGATTTAATTGTACATTATGGGCTAAAAGGGGAGTGTGATTTTGATACAAATAGCTGGCGATGCAGCGGGCATGCGGTGCTGCTTGTTTGTGTCTAAAAGAGTAAAATTTAGAATGGTAGAACGTTACATTTTTGTTTCTATGTGTGGGAGTAGGTTTTTAATTTATTAGTTGAACATTTTAAAAATGTAGAATTGTTTTGATTAAAACATAGATTTAGAGATTAACTAGGACTATGAATGACACATAATTTTTGAACTAACTTTGTTCTAGTTTTGAGTCTTTCATCAGTTGCAAAATTGTTAA